AAGAATCATAGAATCATTAAGGTTGGAAAAGATCTCAAGGATCTTCAAGTCCAACCATCAAATTGGCATCWTTAGAAAGTAAACATAATTTATTTCACAAATTGTTTTTAAAAATCTTTATCTATARTTTTGCTCTGGTTTTAGTGTATATACCTTAAAGTAAAACATCAAGAAAGAATGGATCAAATCTATACAGCAGGTTGTATGATATCTGTAATTTGTTGCAATTTGTTATAAATAATGCTTGTAATTTCAGTTTCTGAAGTTACAAACTCCTTGTAGCTCACGTCTTCCACTTTAAACACCCTAATTTGCACCTTAAAACTTTCTGTTACACTTGACTGAGAACGTGGTTGAATTTTCCCCGTTTTTCCTCTTTTCCATGTGAAGTTTTCACCAAGCAGCTGGATGCACACCCACCCCAACAACAGCACAGGCACTGGGCTCCGATCTGCAGTGGGAATCCCACCAACCAGATCCGGGGCTGCGACAGATACGGCTGCGGCAGTTTCGGCGCTGACAGGTAACACACTTTGCTTTCCTGAATTAAATGTTCAGGCAGGAGAAAGAGTACAGTTAAACAGAGCTGACAGTCAGATTGAGAGAATAGTGTTGTCTGCAGGGAGCTCACTCACTTTTGGGATATTCCTTGGCAATCTCACAGAAGCAGTGACACCASTGCTGATAGCAGATGCAGGGGTGAAGGAGGAGGACTGTTACACGAATTACAGAGTAAAGGAAATGGAAGTATTTCAAGGATTTGTGTCATTTATCTTCGTTGCTTATACTCCAGACATTTAACTGACATTCAGCAACAGCTTACAAGCTGAGTAGAATAATTTACACAAACTAGAAGTCTGTCAGCATCATTGTCTTTAAGTAGGGACCTCATAACACAACAGGTTTTATTTCTCTGAAAAAAATGCTTTCATAATAGAATGACTCCTACATTTTCCTGTCATCTCCTCACCCCAGGCTCTAAAATTGTCCATCTTCATCATGCATCTTCCAAATTTCTAAGTGAGAAAATGCCAAACATAAGATTCTATTTTACATGGGCACAAATGTATTTTGGGGTAGAAAAATGGTACTTTTCTCTAACAGTTTGAAATACACCATGTACTTGGGAATATTAGAAATAAACTTGAATTTGAAATTGCATTCCACTCTAAAGAAGGTCAGAGTAATGTGAACAATTTGCAACAACAAAAAAAAAAAAAAAATAGTTCAATCCTGCTACTTCTGTCAAATTTCATCGCAGGTATAACACTTTTGCTGGACAAGCTACAGCTATCATCCTGCATTGAGTGACCCATTGACAGATAACATTAACCCTGAGAGATGTCCCTAATTATGCATTTGTGTCTCCAGGCATGGTGGCAAAGAGAAGCACGGAGGTGTGGATGTGATCTGTTCTGATGGAGCCACGGTGTACGCTCCTTTCAGCGGGCAGCTCTCGGGACCCATCCGATTCTTCCATAATGGAAAYGCCATTGATGATGGAGTCCAAATCAGGGGATCAGGTAATTAACAGCAGGTGTCCTGTTAGACATGCACAAGTAATAATTTAATTTACTTGAGCAAGGTTTCTGTGGTTCTTCAGTTCAAGCACAGTGTTGATTACTCTTACACCCTCTCCGGCACGCTGAAATATTGGAAGACAGCACCGGCTGGATGTAGCCCTTTCCCATGCTTTTATTGGAGAGGAGGAAAGAAATGAGTTGAAAAACAGGTAGCAGGAAAATAACAACCCCAAATTAAAAAAAAAAGGAAACAGTAAAAATAAAGCACCGGAAATACATCCTCAGTTTTGCTGAGAGGATGTTTTCCTGTCCCTGTTTTCCAACTCCCCTTTTTCCTTTTTGCCKTAGCAAATACAGTAATTTTGATTTCAGCAGTTGGTACTTTGACTGCATTTCTGCTTCCTCCTTACAGTCTCCAGTTAAGAGGCTGGCAGGGAATGTTTCTTGCTYACCCCAGGAGCAGATGAGGCTGATGTTTCCTGACCTCGCTTCCTCTCCCGTCTCTCCCAGGTTACTGTGTGAAACTCGTCTGCATTCACCCCTTCAAGTACCACGGCCAAATCCGCAGAGGGCAACGACTCGGGAAAATGCTGCCAATGCAAAAAGTATTTCCTGGCATTACTTCTCACATCCATGTTGAGAACTGCGACCAYTCTGATCCTACTCATCTGCTTACGCCTGGTAAAMAACCCAAACAACAAAAARCAGCTCAGAATAAGAGTAGATTTGCACTCTAGGATTTGAGATACTCTGAGTTTTTGTCTTTAAAGCATGTTTCTTCTATGAAATAACCCTAATCTAGAAACATTACCTCCAGCTTAGGTGTACATTGGATTTAYATTTCCTAAAGGATGACAGATTTTGTGGAGGAAAGTCCAATAACATGCATGGGATGTAATCTCAGCATGTTCTTACCTGACCGTAAATCATAGTAGCTGAAAACAGGCAAGAGTTAATTTTTAAGTTAACTTTGATGTGCTTTCTGTATTTCAAAGATGTTCCACCACTGCCACAACAAGACRGACGCTGGGCCATGGTGTGTGCTGGGAATCCGACCAACGAGATAAGGGGCTGTGATAAGTATGGCTGTGGATACTATGGAGCTCCAAGGTAAAGTAGTAATTGGAACACACGGAGTTTTGTTGTACTTCCACTGAAATAAGAATTGAAATCTGTTTAGGTCACATAAGAATTACAGATTTGACGTGAGGAAACAGGCTGCCCACATTGTTCATAACACCTCTCTGCTTGGAGCTTTTTATCAGACTAAGCCATGTCTGACCTGACCTCATGTTGGGAACAGTCCTGACTCAAGAGGACGGTTGAACTTCATATCCTTCACACAATCAAACTTTCTGTGACTCTATGGTTTTATTTAAAGACCTGGAAGAAAGGCTTTTTTCTCCAGCTTTAACAGGTCATCCACCCTACATGGCATTACATCACCTATAGTCAAAAACCTCTGCCAATCCTTCAGCCAGTTTACTGACTATTTCTGTCCTAACAATCAATTTCCAGATCTCACCATGATCTCCCCATGGGCCTGACCAGAAATTTCTGTAACAATGTGTTTGTTTTCAGACGCAATGGCAAAGGGAAGCACCGGGCAGTGGATGTCATCTGTGCTGATGGGTCCACAGTGTACGCTCCCTTCTCTGGCCARCTCTCTGGGCCTGTTAAATTCTTCCACAATGGAAATGCCATTGATGATGGAGTCCAAATCAGTGGGTCAGGTAAATAGCTATTTTMATATTTCTTTGTTTTGAGGTCATASAGGATGCATTACCTTGCAGTTAGCCAAGTAGTTTCGCCACGTTTTCTTCTATCCACTTGCATGCAGAACTTTTTGCTTCTGCTRTAGTGCAAATAACTGAGTTCTGCAGAATGTCTTCAAGCTCTTCCCTTTACTAAAGMAGGAATTCCTACCTTCTCCCTGCCATCTTCCCCCTTCTACCACGCCAATGACTCCAATCATCACCTATTTTTGTGACCAGTGTCTTTTCTATTTTGGTATTTCCACTATTGCTATCTCAGTGGAAAATACAAAATGGAAATTGTTAATATTTCTAAAATAGTGCTAGTACAGAAGAAGTGCTTCAGTCATCTGATGGTTTCCCTCCTCTCGTTTTTCACCAGGATTCTGTGTGAAACTACTCTGTATCCACCCCGTAAGATACAATGGTGCAATTTCCAAGGGACAAGTCCTTGGGAGAATGCTGCCGATGCAAAGAGTGTTTCCTGGGATCACATCTCAYATTCACATTGAGAACTGCGATCACTCGGATCCTACAAGCAATCTTGAAAGGGGGAAAGGGCAAAGAAATTGAAATGGAAAAGCAGTAAATTCCAAATAAATCCAACTCAGCATCCAAAGCTGTTTCTTTTTTTTCCCCATGCACAATAGTTTATAGTGTCACCTATTCAATAATTTTAACCTTACACAAGCAGTATCTGTAGGATGGCAAAAGAGACTCACAAGAGGAAAAAAGGAACTGAGTTTTTGTTGCAATTTGCATTTACTAGAGAATCAGGAAATTAGCAATGATTAGCTATAAACTTTCTCCAAATCTGAAAAAGCAGCTAAAATGCAAAGTGCTTACTCCCTCCTGTGGCAGAGAAGGTGCATTCCTGTCAGCTTCTCCCCCAAGCAGCAGCTGGCCTCCCTTGTTCAGATCAGGGCGAAGAACAAATGCTCAAAAAAAAATCAGCACATCAAACATTCATAAATGCAGGCCTATTTAACTGGAAGCTTGGGGCTGGAGCAAGCTGACATTTGATACCTGGACTTGATGACCTTAAAKGTCYTYCCCAGCCTTAGCAGTTCTATGGTTCACAGCGTCACAGAAAAGTTGCTTTACTGACAGGGACTGAGAGTGGGGCAATAGTCAAAGAAGCATTTTAAGAGGTTCACCCGTGAACAGTAACTGTCACCAGTGTTTGATAAATACACCAACACTGTTACATTGGCTGGAGAGACAAAGAAGACTCCAGGATTTACCAAATACCCACAAGATTTGTCCACATGCCATTTTAAGGTTTGCATGTCAGAAATTACCAGGTTTTAGGGCATAAACTTTAAGTGACAATGACTAACTTGCCATTCTTCCGTCTGTCCCAAGGTTTGTCAGAGACATGGCTTCTAGTAGGACAGAACCCTAACAGGACACAGTGCAACAGATGGATGAGTCCAGTATCAGTGCAGGGATTAAACCATTTTATTACATTTCCATTTAAAGCGAGCCASACATCTTAAACCAAATACTGTTTGGAAATATTTCAGTTTAGTGTTTAAATTATAATCCCCCGGATTATGGAAGTGCTCAGCTCACAGGCTCTACTAACCGGTCAGATGCTTTACTGTGCAACAGGCAATAAAGCATTACTGACTCAAATTTGGGTTTTAACTCCTAGGGCTTCCAGCTAGGAATTAGCAGGGAGAAACAAAGGGTGGTTTAACCCTTTAGCTGCTGTTTTGTGGGAAGTGTGGAAGAAACTCACATACTCTCTGCTGTGAAGGCACTGGTTTTGGCTGGGGTAGKTAATTTTCTTCATAGGAGCTAGAATGGAGCTGTTTTGGATTTGTACTGGAACCAGAACTGGTAACACAGGGATGTTTCTGCTGCAGCTGAGAAGTGCTCACAGTCCAGGCCTGCTGTGCTTCTTGTCCTGCCCCACCAGCGAGGAGGCTGAGGGTGCACAGCCTGGGAGGTGATGGGGACAGGACAGCTGGGCCCAGCTGGCCCAAGGGTGTGACATCAGGCTCAGCATATAAAGCTGGGGGAAACAGGAGGAAGGGGAAGGTTTATGTATGATGCAACCCTGCTTTCCTGGAAATGACTGATGGATGAATTCTCTTTTCTGGGGTTGGCTGCATGTGTGGGCTCTTGCCTTACCTATTAAACTCCTTATCTCCAGCCATGAGTTTTCTCACTTTTACCCTCCGATTCTCTCCCTCTGGCTGTGAAGGGCTCAGCTGCCAGTCAGGGTTAAACCATGACAGTGACAAACACCACACCAGCAAATTCTTGTAGACTTCTCATTAACAGTAGGAAGATAGAACAAAGATGGCATAAAAATCATTACAGCAAAATTTATATACAATGCATTTGAGTTTACAGTGTGCAAAATGTTAACACAAAAATACATACTCTGATTTACATCAACTCACCATGCCTTTCCCCTTATAYGAAAATAAATATAATACAATCTTTCTCAAAAAAACAATTAGTAGCAAACAAATATTAAACAGTCCTGATTTAAATATTTCAGCATTACCTCCAGCAAGYCTTTCCCCAGAAATCAGGGCTTACACAAAGCTCTGTGAGATACAGGCAAGATTACTAAAGTCCATTTTGGCCTCTAAATGACAAATTTAAGTGCTCTAAATCCTTGATTCCAAATAGAAATGGAACAAAGACAACTGTATTGCATTTGATYTTTCCTTCTTACTAGCCACATTTATGAAATCCTTATTTCTTAGTAATCAAAGCATGGAACCACATTCAGACATCAGTCTTTGGTTACAAAGACTTGAGCSCAAATCCAAAGCTATTTCTTATTGTCCTGACATTTCCAAAGTGCTTTATTAATCACTCAAGAAATCAATCTACATCCAAACATTTAAAAGTAGTAATTTTAACAATGTCTCTTTATCATCCTCTTAATGCATAAGACAAAAACAACATACTGTACAATGCCTTCTCTAGTTTCTGTAATCTGACAAAATTACTTAAAGTGCAATATAAAACTGGAAAGTTTTTGTAAGCATAAGCTTATTAACATTCTAATATACTGCCATGAGTTTAAGCTAGATTGTAGCTGATTAACCTGGGCTAGTGCATTTTATTATACAAGCTTTTACAATTAAAACATGAATAATTAAAAAAAACTATAAAACATCATGACAAATAATACTGTACTCGAGGTTCTATTCAGCTTTCCACAGATAGATTTCCTAAAGGAAAATTATTTCCCTATTCTTCTGACTAGATCAGAAAAACTAAACACATGGGGGAGAAAAAAACCAAAACCACTTTAAAGTAAATCGATCATTTAAAATGAAGCTCAGARGAGCCCAAGTTCACTGAAGTTCAAAGCACCTGTAAATCACAGACATACTTTCAGAACTGTTAAGTACACTTAAATCTATTTTCTATTTCAATACACAATTAATATTGTAGAGTTTTGATGTTAGTCTGTGCTCTCAAGGTTCTCAAGGAAGAAAAACTCAAATCTGGAAGAAAGCTTTCACATTTAAGTTTTAAATTTTTATTTGCATAGAAAGCAACACCTTGATTCTACTATTTTATCCACAAACACAGAGAATTTACCATGTTGGCATCATATCAGGAAACCACATTCTTCCAAGGTGTTTGGAGACTTCCAGATGAAGCCGATCTAAGCTGTAATCACTATCTGGAATCAGCACCTCCTCCATAATGGAAAGCTGAGTAAGCCTGCCCCCACACACCTTCACAAATTCAATAAAACCTCTGCAGGTGACTTCACATTCCCCCAGCCCCATGGCCGTTAAGTTCTTACAGCGCTCAGCAATCTGCATGAGTTCATCATCCAAAGGTTGAAGTCCATTGGCGCACACGACCAGCTCGATCAGCCTGGGGCAGTTCATGCCAATGCGACCCAACATTGCCTTGCTCACTGCACGACCAAAGTACAGGTGTGTAACWGGTGTTTCCTCTCTGAAGAAAGCATCAAATTCATCTTCATACAAGAAGAAATACATCACAATGTTGACTTTGGGGGAGTGTTTAACGAGAGCATCCCAGCTTTGCTTTTTAATGGTGTGAAATTGAACCTGTCCGGGATTTTCACTCACGACGTCGATGCGAAGGTGCTCGAGATCAACATGTTTTTCACTAGAAAGAGCCAGCAGCAGTTCATCACTTAATATGTAGTAATTCAAAGCCAGCTCCTTAAGTCCATGACACTGATCAGCCACACAAAGAATGCCTGAGGAACAAAAAAAATTTACTCTGTAAAATGAAAAACTAATATAAACACAGTCATTTGCTGTGAAGTTCAAGCAAGTACTGATTCTATTGGCTTGAGGTTTCATGCTTATATCCGCAGGAAATACCCAAGTTCCAGGTATCCACAACCTTTTACAGGGTTTTGGCCATTAACACTGAACTGTAAAAGATGCAAGTCACATTGGATCTGCAGATCTTCCTCTTTGCCCCTCCCTATGCAGAATTTCCCTATCTTTGAAGAAGCGACTAAAATTAGGTCAGATTCAGCTGAARTTGCCACCAYTCCCTTCTCTAATRGT